TATATATATATATATATATATATATGTAGAGAGAGAGAGACAGAGGGACAGAGAGACAGAGAGAGAAATGTGTAAATTCGTGTGTAAAAAATAATTGATATCCTTTACTGTTGATAATTTACTATAAGCACATATGGTGAATGGTTGCTGATAATTCATCAAAATAGGACATGGTGTGAGGCAACAGTTCATTTTAAAACATAGTAAAAATCCTCTGGAAAGAGGAGAAAATATAGTATTCTCTTCCTTATTTCACATCTTAGAGCTGGTTTTACTGTATAAGTTAGCAGATCATCAATGCTCACAGGTCTAGAGGATCCCTGGCCATGTAGACATGGTGAAGTATGGTGTGACTCGCGGAATAAAGGGAGGCAGATAGTCTTGAAGAAAGGAAATGAGGAAGATTCTGAAAGTCTGTTTTGCAGTAATTTCTCATTAATGATGATGCTTCTTTTCTAGCGACTGCTTAGCAGGGGGACATCTGATCTGCTCTCCGCAGCCAGCTCATTGATTGTGTGGGTCGATGCAATCTGATGCATAAAGAGACCAGTAAGTGGGAGGCAGTGCTTCCTAGATAACTGCTAAGAAGAGATAGTTTACATTGGATGCTTTCAAGCTGTGTGGCCTCACAGAGAGTCAAATTAGTAGTAAAAGCCATCCTAAAACTGGCAAGTCTCTCTTTATCGATATGCCTAACGTTACTGAAATTAGTTAGACTTAAAGAAAAGTGAAAGACACCAAACAGACACTAAATCCTTATGAACAGAAGGAAGAGGTTGCTCTTTCGTTTTTGATGTACTCCCTAGTGTACATGTACATGTTAGTACGTGGTGACAGGATCTTGTTTTAATTACAAAGGCTCTTTTTCTATTTCTGTTTTCAGTCTCTGAGCTGTCCAGTGCTGAACATTTTACAGTAGCTAGACAGTACTCATACTACATGTAAGTCTAAAGCATTTGCTTGCCCAAAACTCCGATAAAACACTATCCTTACTGACATGATCTCAAATGAATTGAACAAGCAAGCAAAGTAAAACTACAAATCTAGACATATAAATTGTAAAAGATACAAAATATTCTCATTGAAGACACTATGACAATTGAAAAAGGGAATAATTTTTATTACATATCCATTTTAACATGCCCTAATACATTTATATGATTTATTTAATTTCATGTTTATTTTATAAGTTTCTAACACAAATTAAACAGTAACACATTGCTAACATTTTCCTCCTCATGGAGAGAAAGTTTGAATGTTACCTGCCAGAGAGGGTCTTTCTGCTCAGGGAAGAGCTCAAAGTACTTGTGGGCCAGTTGCACTGGAGGCAGGGTCTGCAGTTTCAAGTTGGTCCAGCTGTGCACAAAGTTGGCCAAGTTCACGAAGGTGTATAAGCCGAGGCGGTCATTCCCATAGTTAGACAGATGTGTCATGAAAATGCTGATCTAAGAAAGAAATCAAAATGACCCCTCAATCTCATAAGCATACTCTCAAAGATAGTAGTATTTGATCCAGGCAACATCTCACCTAACTTCAGAACTTCAAGGGAAATACAAATATACTTTTGGGTTGGAATACACTTAATTATTTTCTAAAATACCACTTTAAATTACTGCTAAGATTAAGACTGAATTTGAGATTGGCATTAGTGCCTTGCTAACCAGAAGGGCTTGTCCTATTATAAAGCTAATATTACACCAGGCAGTGGAGGCACATGCCTTTAATCCCAGCACTTGGGAGGCAGAGGCAAGCAGATTTCTGAGTTCGAGGCCAGCCTAGTCTACAGAGTTCCAGGACAGCCGGGACTACACAGAGAAACCCTGTCTCAAAAACCAAAAATAAATAAATAAATAAATAAATAAATAAATAAATAGAGCCAATATTACGAGACCCTAAATCATATCATCTCCCAAATGCTGAGGAACCAGAACTCAAACAGCTGTAAAACAAAACAACTATTTCACTTTTTCTATGATGACAATACATTCTTATGGACTCAGGATGGTATTGATTACTTGTTTCTTTGCATTATAATGAGTCTTCTTATTTGTTTCTTTACTGAAACAAATGTTTAAAAAAATGATAAATGTTTGAGGAGATAGGTAACTGATGGAAACATTGAGTAATGTGTATATAGAAACGTTACAGGGTGGCATACAGTTTTTATGTTTTGATGGATGCATTAAAAATAAATTTAGTTTAAAACCAGTTTTGCAAAGGTATTTTTGCATTAGGCAAGAACTACCATTTTCATTAATCTTTTACAACTTTTCAGACCTCATGTGAATGCTAAAATATACTACCATTTCTGTGTTGTTCTTTGTATAGCACAAACTGGGGAAAAGCGACACAGTTCTTGAAATACCATGCAAGAATTTGCCAGGTATTGAGAAAAACTTAACGTGCAGTCCATCTCAGCCATTGTAGCTGAAATTGAAATATTAAATAAAAGAAAAACTTCACAATCCTGATCTAAGTTGAAGAGATTATTAATGCAATTCTGAAAAAGAATCAATCATTTTCTAGCAACAATAATTTATACACTTTTTAGTTCTCATATTATTTAAACACATGCATTTTAAAATCTAGATGGATTTTTATCATGAGATGGATCTATTAGTATTTCAGGGCAACCCAAATAGTCTAATTAAGGACTTTAATAACTTCATTTTTAAGTAATATAGTATTACAATGAATAATATTAACACATTTATCTAAGATTGAATGGTAAGCAAATATGGAGGAAATGAGATGTTCACTCTCTCATTCTTCAGTGACATTATCACTTTATGTGGTTATTCATGTTATTTAGGAACAGTAAAATAAAATTAGGAATAGAGGAACTATTTCAATATCATTTCACTGCAACATCATTAGAATAGTAGCTATGGAGCAAAGATCATAATAACAGACCCACTGTTCTCAAGATATAATGCCACTGAATAAGTACTCAGAAAGAAGAGCTTGTATCTTAAAAACATAAGAGCATTGTCTTTTACTAGAACACAATAAGTGGTATTATGTCTAGAAATTCTAATTTCAAGAACCAGTTTCATCATTTGAAGGATTATTCATTTTTCAAAAGGTGTTATCTATCTGTCTGTCATACTAGGACACTGAAAAGGTCCCTGAGGACAAGTAATTAAAATTATCTGCCAGTGCTCACCATCCCTGAAAGTAAAAATGAGAGGGTGAGAATTTGGTCCATTGGCCTTCGTGTCTCCAAATTATAAAAATAATACCCCATATTATGTAAAACTTACCTGTGGTAGTCATGAATGTAAGCCCTTCACATTTATGAAATCATTAAAGCCTCATTCTGGTCTTACAAGGTAGGTAGTTCCATAGACCTCTTTACAGATAAGAAGTAGGGTCAAAGAATAGTTACCTTGTCTTAGTCTCCATTGAGTGAGGTACAAAATGGTAATTAAATTCCCAGATCCAACAACATGCTGTTGTTCCAGGAAACTCCTAAAGATACTAAGGAGTTGAATCTGATGTAACCACATTAGGGTCTCTATTCAAGCTCGAGCCTGGGTCCCCAGACAGCCCTGACACAGTAGGAAGGTGAAGCTCTGAGTCTAGTTTCAGGCAAGCATTTATAGAGGCAAGAAGGGGATATCTAGCCTGGTACACATCTGATTCGGGAGCCATTATGGCCTTTAGCATAATTGACTGGTGCTGGGAGCCAAACCATAAACTTAACTTCTGTTTTCCGTCTCATTGGTGTTGTTAGGAAGTGAAGTGTCAGGGGCAAGCTTGTAACCTGGGGGTGCAGATTTGTTGGGGTAGTAACCTAGAGACTGGTGCTAGATGCTGGGTTTGTAGGGGGAATAAGCAAGCATATCTTGTTGCTCAGTAGCCTGGAAGCTGGAGCTAGGTGCTGGCCTGTTAGTTTACTTGAGTTTAGACTTAGATCAGGTTTTCTAAGATGGGATCTGAAACCCCCAAAATTGGTCTCTCAATGCCCTCACCTCTGCTTGATCGCTTTTATGCAGTGAACTTAACATCTTTTTATGAAAGAAAGAAAGAAAGAAAGAAAGAAAGAAAGAAAGAAAGAAAGAAAGAAAGAAAGA